CCTTTTTTTACTGGTCACGGCAGTATATATATATATATAATTATATAACTGTTTTTTTTAAATGTCACACGTGTTCTTTTAACAACGGCGGCAGTGTTATAGTTTAGTATTTTCCTTGAGATAAGAAAACTTCCTCCTTTATTTCACGCGAATGAACAGAAAAAAGTAGTATCACACTTGTTTTGTTTTGAATTATGATACACTCAATCAATTCGGGAATTGAACTTTTCTAAAGTGGCTGAATTCCGTTGCTCTGGTACTCATAATACAGCGAATTCCTTAGTTTGAGGCAATTCGTGTGGTGTCATAAAAAAACTAATTATAATACACTTCGGTCACATCGTATGTAAATCAATAATATATCATTTTTAAATCTGTACGCAGCGTAAAATACTTAGTTGGAGGTGCATCATACGTCGGGAATTATTCTTTGTTTACAAAACCAAAAACCGGTTATCGTTAAGCAAAAATTATCACGATTCGGAAGTAGTGGTCAAATTAACGCCTACAAGTAAAAAAAGTAAAAAGACTTAACGATGAATTGTTGTGCTCGAATAAGGCCATTTTTAACCGACTTGAAAAAAGGTGGAGGTTCTCAATTCGAGTGTACATTTTTTTGGATGTATGTTACGCGATAACTCTGTAACTAAAATTTGTGAACCGATTTTGATGATTCTTTTTTTGTTGGAAAGGGGGTCTCAGTAGTGATCCCATTTAAATATGAAGAAAATATTTCACCTCTAAGGAGGGCAAACTTGGTTTTGTTACAAATCCGGTTTCGCACACTTTCCGGTTACTGATTTCAATAAAACTCGGCAAATAGATATAATTCCACGAACTTTTGAGGTAGGTTTTTTAGTACTCTGTACAGAGATTATTACTTAGGTAAAATTGACCCGAAATCTTTTTTCTTTAAAGTGTTAGTAGGTGAGTAACACATAAAATCCACTGTACATGCCTTATCAACGAAAGCCTCGTAAATTAACCAATATGAAGAATGAGGTATTTTCCTTATATTCACTAAATACCTTTTTATCATTGGTTGCATACACCATTTTGTCATAATAAAGTCCAATAGTTTGCGCTATTTTTATTTCTGTTTACAGAAGGTACTCATTGTTTCATTTGTCATTGTTGCAACAAGTTATTTTAAGAAGTTACTTATTAGTTATTTAAAGAAGTTACTGTTATATATTGCGACACTAGTATTATCATGTTACTTTAACTTCTTTACAGTGATATCGTCCTACATAAATTCTGAATAATAATAATATGTACTATAGTATTCAAAGATGGAATGTTTTTCTGTAAATAATAAACATAGATTTCTATACGAACACAATTTTGTCCTATTGAAATCGTGTCCATATGGAATTATATCATTCATAGTATATGCCACAATCAAAATACTAATAAAAACAAAAGAAAACATCTACTTACATTTACTAACGGAATTCCACTGTGATGAGTCAAGCAAATAAAAGTCTGTAAATGATATGACGCACTGTTATCAACACTGGCAATAATTGAATTTTATAGTATGTATTCAATTAAACATTTTGATAGGAGAGTAAGAAAGAATTATGCCAGTTCTCCCATCAGATTAGATGATCACTGCATGTGCAACTAACCGGCATTGAATACATAGACACTTTTCATAAAATATATTTTTTTACCTGGTTTTTTTATAAAAGAATACATGTACATTTGGCCTCCATCTCACCTGATGGAAAGTGACGAAGAGTTGACGGTGGAGCATGCACAGGCAAATAATGCCTATTCACTCTCGCATTGAAAAGGCTCAAGTTATAGAGTTCAAGGAATAAGTATGTCCGCGCAATGTAAACTTATAAATGTAGAGTACTTTAATCACAATTTTATGTCAATAACATTGGCATAGACTATAGTCTGTTTTAGAAAGCGACTGCGGTGGGTAACTGCCTCCACGGAAGAGGCTAATATATAATAACTCAGCCCTGTGCAGGTTTCCGTTAGGCTCTGACTAAGGAATAGTCTCCCAATCTGAAAGGTGCATACTGTCTACGGATGCCTGGCTAGGGGGCTGCTAACCCAGCCGCCAACGGCGCGCGTTGAACGCGTCCTCTAATTTTCGAACTACTCATGCAATGTTATATGAAAGAATACTGAATAAATAATAAAAATTCCCTAATCGATAAAAACCATTGCTGGATAGACAATCAATTCAGAAATCTTAGTCCAGTCAATCTTGACACGATCTAAGAAATCTCTAAGGAGTTATCTATCCGAGGATATTTAATTTGAATGTTTGTTATAATCAATATCGTTGGGTAAATGTGAGCTGTCAGATCTTTATAGTAAACAAACTAAAGACTAGAAGTACTGCTACAGTACTTCCACTACAAAGTCAAGGGCTCTATTAGTACAATGATAAATTGATACTATCAGTTTTTCTATCAGTTCCTTATCAATTGTAACAAATATAAGTTGTATACTAATTTCATTGTTTTTTTGTAAATTTTCAAGAACTGTGACTAATTTATTTAGTAATAGTGAGTAATTTATTTACAGTTTTTTTTGCAAAACATGAAATTTGTCACAGAGATTGACAAATAGACTCAATGCAATTCAACATAGAGTGTAATTTTTTTAACTGGCACAGTATGGAAAAATCCAAAAACAGAAGATGCATAGAAACTGTCTTAGGAACCAATAGATCTCATTTGTGAAAACAATTTTGACATTAAATGGGTAATATAGACAATTTCTTTTTTTTAATGCTGATTGACTCAGTTTCTTGTACGGATCACTTAATTGTAATGTAAGAAAAAAAATGGGGCCAGCAGAAGTCGGTCAAATTTAATAAATGTTTTTTAATACATGATTTGATTTGATGTATGAATAATCCTGGAAGAGTACTAAAACATTGGAAAAAAAATTCAGGGGAGCATGTTTTAAGTTTTAACAACTTTCTGTTTTAAAATATTTATGTCCTGTTTTAAAGCTCCATTTTGGTTTTAATTATGTTTAAGTTTTAAAATAGAATTTAAATCATGACGCAAATATTTTAAAACAATCGAAGAACACAAAAAAAACATGTTCCCCTGAAAAAAATTTCGAAATGGCGCTTTCGCCTTTTGTACAAAACACCAACGAAATGTACCGTTTATGGATATATTCTCAGTTATAAGTAATTCATAGACTGTTTAAACTCGTAAGTCTGAATATGCCAAAACATTAAATTTCTCTGTTTACATTTTTCACACGCAAAATAGGCGCTATGACGTCGAGTTGCGGAAGCTAGCCCAATTATTTGTCAATCTATTGGACAACACAATTGGACTGACAGAATATCAATTGCCAACAGACTATCTTTTGCCTTTCATACTTAGTATGATAACTACTACTAATCATAAAATGATTTTAGTTTGGAAGAAACAACACATGTAACTGCAACAATGCGGATTTAAGTTAGAAGTATCATATTACAGAGGAACTCTTTGAAACTGACCACAGGAAACTAGAACTGTGATTCTGATACTATGATACAATAAGAATCTGAATAGGCAGAGTATATTTACCTAAATTCTAAAAATAAAATACATTGAGTGGATACCACTTTTTTTAGACATCCCGGAATTATTGTATTTTGTTATAACATTACTATGTGTAACTAGAAAAATTATTTGACTATAGTAAGAGTATTTAACTCATCATGTGTCCTACAGACAAGGTGTCCTTACTGATTTGGTACTGTAGCATTCTAGAGCATTTTTAACACGCAGCTGTGTATTTGCCTACCTTTTTAAAAGAAATTATAACATAAAAATCTTTTACCAAAATTGTTAAGAACACTGTGTCTTTAGGACACGTGACAGATCGAAAAGAAAAACATTGTAATTAATATATGACTATTTCATTCTTAATAATTACCAGGATTATGGAGGTATTATCCACTCTATGTGTATTATTCCAAGTTGAACATACTGTATCTATTTTAATCTCTTGTAATAGATCGGTTCTTTAAAATGTGGTTTGATTGAGAAATCCTTTAATCTGCTGACAAATTTCAGTGTATGACTTTTGCAAGCTATCTAGTTTGCAATCTTTCATGAAATATTATCAGAATAGACAATCATTGACATTTATAGTCAATGTTACTGCCTCAGTTTCAAGGTCTTAAAGTGCTACCAACCTGTAGCCACAGAGATAGATTAACTACTTTGTTTGAACAGCATTCATATAATATACAATTGTTAGAGACCACAGTATCCCTAACAATTGGAGCACTGTAGTATCCTAGAGTCACACAGTGTTTCTAACACATAGCTACGTGTTCACCCACCACTTAAAAAAAATTCTATAGGTATATACAATTTCTTTTCATCAAAATCATTAGGAACACGGAATGAATGTAGGATGTGTGATGGGCAAATATGAAATACAACCCATGAATCAGAGTGCTTGATAAGGACCTAGGATGCTCACTTCAGAGATGCAAACAGGACATATTAGGGATTACCAGAAAAAAATTGATTTCTTAGAATTTCGCAAATTAGAAAATGCAGATAACTTAAATTAAAAAATTTTTGTTCAAATTAAAATAATTCTCTAGTCTTTATACACGCCGACGAGGCGATGTCGAAAGCTATATCATAATACTGATGAAGTAATATTCATTAGAATTTTAATAGTAGTAATTTATACAATAGAAAATGAAATTTACTAGTCCCAAGTTTACTTATACCTACTGTGTAAATAAAAAAGGTATTGAGTTACGTATTTACGCAGGTACCAGAGACGTAACGCCGAATTAGCGATGACACTCCTTTACGGGCCTCAAGGTTATTAAAAACAACGCAACAAACATCACGTAGACCTACAGCAAAGAGATAATTAATAAAACCCCAGCGAAAGTACACTCACAAGGTCTAAATTGACACAAAAAACAACAGAGTAAAACTGCATTGAAATTACGTAGGACGACAGGTGTTACCGAATTTACATATATAAAAACTCACCTTATGGGCTTCAACACTTTCCAAAAAACAGTTTCAATCCATAAAACACTTTCACGAATATTGGTAACCACACTAGAACCGCATAGAAACATAAAACAATTCCGATATTTACAATTTTTTGATATTTATTTACAAATAGACCACTTTCAGCCTTGCTAAACACTTGTGAAAAACCATAGATAAAATAGACTAATGACAGTACATAGCTCAGTAGTGAAGTGCATCTGTATAATGTCGAAATCGACAAGGTAATCATAGTTCAAGTGTTGTTTCTCAGAAGAGCTTCTAGTTTCTTCTGTCAACTAAGAAAAAGAACAAGAGTGATCATGATAAATAATTAAATAAGTTTTATGAGTATTTGTTTAAATTGTTATAATTTAATAAATTAACAAATATAATATTAATGTAACAGACCCTTAAAGTAATGGTAAAGCATAATTTTATTTCAAGTAATATCTTTGTTACAATATTTTAGTATAAAAAATATGTATGGAATTATAAATGAAATATTATTTTGGGTTTCATTTCCACTGTATAGCAACTGCGAAAACCTTACAATATTTATACAACTGTAATATAAATGTTGTCTTTTATTTGTACTACTTTCTTCCTGTATTAAGATACAAAAGCATTTTTTTTTTACAGACGAAAGTAAAAAGAGAATAATATTAGTCTTCTCAAGTGTAGCCTTAGTATTAAACCACAAGCAATTATTTATTTATATGTAAAAAATATTATTATCGATATGTATTTCGATAATGCACGGCAGCAAGTTGTCTTTGAATTTTTAAATGTTGCCGATGTAAAAAAAACTTACCGATAAAATATGGGTTTTAAAACAATTTTGTGTTTCTGCTGTACTTGGATAACAAAAAATATATTTCTATGGTGAGAAATTTGTCTACTAATATGGAATTTCATAACATTTTCGAGCACGTTTTATATAGATTAGTTTAATGTAGAAATCGGGAACAGAGAATAAAATTATGGCAACACAGGCAACCATTTCCGTCCATAGCAGATGGTCTGTACATGGCCAATCAAATCATTCGGTTCGAGACCCACCTACGTGGGTAGGTATCATAACATTGTGTATGTGTATTGTCGCATGTCTCATGTTTATTTACAAAAATTCAAATTGGAAATTATTGAATGAAAAGTCCATGACTAAGGTTTCTACATAGATGTTATAGACATTGTGGGTGTTTTTCTGTGTTTAATTGGACAGCCAGGGTTTTGTGTAATTTATTGACTCGTGCGAAATAGAATATTTTGTGAAAATGACCGCGTCTACAATGATCGAGTTAGAGTCCTGGATAATCTACCAATGTGTCCTGAATGAATGCCATGTATCCAGTTGTGAGTAAAATAAATTATTATATGTTTATAAAATGTTTATGCAGCATATTTACTTACTTAGACAAATGTGTAATATTTTTACGAATTTATTATGTAGACCATTGACTTACAATTATATGGACGTCGGGTCCGCGCTAAAAAGTGTCCGCACTTGTAAGGCGCTAAAATCGTATACAGAGCGCTATCTCCGCTTTAGTCTTCATTTGTTCTACTGACAGCGCGATACTGCGATGATATTACAATTTAAATTTCGAATAGGTTGACTTGGGACATTTTTTTCGTGGTTTTTGTATTAGACCCGTCGTCCATTTATTTGTAAGTCAATGATGTAGACTATAATTTTTTAGGACTTTTAAGTATATGTATAGTACCTTAGAATAATAACGCATAGAAACCTAGCCCGCACACGCTAAGTGAGGCAAGTTAGAGGGTTCCAAACGCGTCCCAGGAGCGCGCGGGCTGTTAGTGCTCAAGGTCATATTGCACCGCGAACAGCTCCAAAATTTTTTGCTAAAAATGACGAAATGTGCGGTAAATGGGTGTAAAAATACAACAGACAAACATAAAATAGACACTAACATCGCATTCCACAAGTAAGTAATGCGTTTCAACTCATATTTTTATGTAAATATTCACTAAAACAGAAAAATAATTTCGCGGCAACAAGATACGAAAGTGTTGCAAAGTAACGAATTTTTTTTCTCCCCATTTTGCTATTCTGTTTCAAAATAATTATATTACGTAAATTTTAGTGGTGCCTGTAATTTCGATTTATTTGCGCATCTTGAACAATAATATTTACTTGAATAAACATTAAATGTTTTCGTTAACTTGTGATGAAAGTGATTGGGACACTTAATTATTTTATAATACTTTTAACGGCTCTGCGTTCATGCTTTATTGAATAATTATTTCTTTTAATTTTATTTGAATAGGAGCACATATTGCAACAAATTTACAGTATATATTTGTTTCTACTATAGTGTTGGCACCACCAGTACAACTTTGATAGCTTATTATATGTCTTTATTTTCGTAACTCAAGCGAAATATTTTATATTGAAATATTTTATTTTCTTAAAAGGGGAGCATTCTTAAGCGATTTTTTAATCTATTTTAACAGTTATTTTCTTTAATGTTTGCTTATGGCATTTTCGGCTTTAGGTTTCGAATATGGCACTTATTTCTAAATCCAAGATGGCGGGCGCGATTTTTCGAATAATGGCAAGTTGGGTATCGTTTTCGAGATGTTTGGGAATGTTCAATACAAATATGGCACTCATTTCTAAATCCAAGATGGCAAACACGACAGTTCAAACAAAAGCAATATTCGTAATGAGCACCCTCAAATACCTCGAAAACGATACCCAACTTGCCATTATTTGAAAAATCGAGCCCGCCATCTTGGATTTACAAATAGTGCCATATTCACATTGAGCATCCCCAAATACCTCGAAAATGATACCCACATAGCATTTTTTTGAAAAAATCGTGCCCGCCATCTTGGATTTAGAAATGAGTGCCATATTCGTAACGAGCATCCCCAAATACCTCGAAAAGGATACCCATATAGCATATTTTGGAAAATCGTGTCCGCCATCTTGGATTTAGAAATGAGTGTCATATTCGTAATGAGCATCCCCAAATACCTCGAAAAGGATACCCATA